AGTCTGTGGTCAACAGCACAGGGGAGAAGGGAGCCGTCACCACCCCAGCTCCAGGCTGTGGGCTCCTTCGTGTGGAACTCTCCTGCTGGGAACCAGGGACCACCCGGGGCCTCCCAGCTCCCCACTGAGCCGAGGCTGGAGGCGAGGCGGGAGACCGCCAGTCAGCGAGGAGCATGGCAGCACATGCAGGTTCCCCATCCAGTCCAGCTGCCCTCTGGCCTTTGGGGCTGGAGAACTAGGAGGGGGGTGCCGCCCTCCCCTGCATCTGCTTCCCGTGGCCAGGAGCTGCATGGTGCCTAGTTGTGTGGACCTCGTCTCCAGAAGCCCTGACTTGAGAGCATCTGCTGCTCCCGGGAGGAACCAGAGAATGATGTTATCAGAGGAAAGCAGCCGGGCCTGGCGACCAGGAAGCCACTTTGAAACAAGTCTAAAAGATCCTGATGGGAGCAGTGCCACCAGCCAGCCCAGCCCTCCCCCTCTGGCAAAATCACGACCCTGGGGTTACAATGGTTTTCTTTGTATAAAGTGCCCTTCCTGTCCCCTGACCCTGTCTCGCTCCATCTCTTGCAGGTACATTCGCTGCCAGAAGGAGGTGGGGAAGAGCTTCGAGCGGCATAAGTTGAAGAGGCAGGATGCAGATGCCTGGTAAAATTTTAGCCCTTACTGCTAGAGCCTCCTCCAGGAACCAGCCTCGCTCCTCCTCCGTGGGAAGTCCTGGGCTCCACACCCCACTGCCAGGGGGCCTCCTGCAGCTCTGGACTTGCCCAGCCCCGGGGCCCTCCTCCCTCTGGATGGGCTCAGCCTCAAGCCCGAGAAGCTTGGGCCTGGTGCTGTGCTCGGGCACATCTCTGCTGTCTTCTAGCACATCCCCCAGAGCCAGGTTCAGGGCCCCTGCCCCTGGCTGCCTGGCTTCTCTTGCCATTTCCTGGTGTCCTCCCATTCTTAGCTTCCCCTGGCCCCTGGGGACCCTCATGTTTAGGCTCTGCTGGGTCTCAGCCCGTCTTTTGCTCTTCCCACTAGGACTCTCTATAAGATCCTGGACAGCTGCAAACAACTGACTCTAGCCCAGGGGACAGGGGAAGAGGACCCAAGTGGCATGGTGACCATTGTCACAGGCCTTCCCCTGGATAACCCCAGCGCGCTCTCAGGGCCCATGCAGGTGGGTCACCAGTGAGGTGGGGACAGGGTGGACTGTGGGGAAGCAGACCTGAATGGCATCTGTCCTCAATCTCCCAGGCAGATGTCCCTTCCCCTGCCACACCCCTTCCCCAGATCTGAGCAGCTGTCCCGCAGTTCAGGAGGCCAGGCCTCTTCCACCTTTTCTTCCCTCATTCTGCAGGCAGCCCTGCAGGCCGCTGCCCATGCCAGCGTGGACATCAAGAATGTTCTGGACTTCTACAAGCAGTGGAAGGAGATTGGTTGAGGCTGACCTGAGGCCCTGCAGAGGGGCTGACACCAGATCGCTCCTGCTCTCCCCGGCAGCCGGGACCACCACCTGCAGCCACCCCACCAAACACAGGAAGGAAGCCTAGCTGTGCGGAGCTGAGGGAGGGCCCAGGAGCCAGCTGGGAGGGGGGGTCCCTTGTTGCCAAGATGATGTCGGGAAAGTGAGGAAAGTTCTTGGAGCAGGAGAGGCCTGGGCTGGGCTCCCCGCCAGCCTTCCTATCTTGACCCTCCTGCTGTCCCCTGGGCGGGTGACAGGCGGCAGGCATAGGTGTCTGCGTTTCATTGGAGTTGTTCCTGGACCTCTTGAGGGGAAGGGACAGCAGAAGGGGCCCTTCGTTCTACCCGAGGTGCAGGTGGAAGGGGCCAGGCGGTGGACCCTCTGGGCCCCGGGGAGAGTTGAGTACTACAGGCGTCGGTGGCTCTTTGCAGACCCTTTCCCTCCTCAGGGACCACCCCATCTTCCTTTCATCTCCCTTGGGGGGCAGGACTGCTCTGGAGCCAGCTGTGGGGCTCTGTGAAAGCAGGGCCTGGAGCAGCCCGTGCTGTGTGGCAGGGGTGGGGTCTGTGTCCCCCCTGCTGCGGGAGCCACACTCCCAGTTGCCCCTCTTCTGCTCCCCGTCTGCCTGTCTGGCTTCCAGGGCAGGGGCAGCCCTACGTGGGGCTCAGGCAGGCTGGCCTGTACCAGCGGTGGTTCTGTGCCACCAGCCCACTGCTGTGCTCTGTGCCCTTGGCTGTTGCGCTGGGGCAGGGTGGAGTGCAGGCTGAGGCCACCCCTACTGTCCCAGGGAGGCCAAAGACGAGCGGCCAGCATTCAGTGGGCCGTAGAAAGGGGAGGCCTGCGGAAGCCGCCAGCCAGGATCACCGTCCTGATGGGCTTCCCTCCCCCAGGATTAAAGGTCTGGTGGGCTGAGCATGAGCCGGCTTTTGGAGTGTCCAGGTGACCATGTGGGAGCAGAGATCATGAATAGCTCAGGGCAGTGAATGTCGCACCTAGGAGTGGGGGGCGCTGGCCAGGACGCCTCGGCCCTCCCCCCAGGCTGCAGTAGAGCAGGGCTGGGGGCTGGGGAGGAGGGTCTCAGTTCTGCCCTCAGCCCAGCCAGCGCTGGCCTAGCTTCCTGGACTGCTGAGAGGAGAGCTGGCTTCTGGCGGCCACCTCTGAGTGTGTGTCTGGGAACCTGGGGGAACAGTCATCCCCACCCCAGTTCCTGGCAGAGACTGAGACTAAAGCATCACTTAATAAAGACCCCCGAGCCTGAGCCTGTCTGCCAGAGTCTCACTGGGGAGCTGGGGTATTGGGGATGCTTCTCGAGTGCACCTCAGGAACGAAGTCCCTGGAGATGGCTCTGTGATTGTCGCTCTTTGACCTCATGGCCCCATGGTTTCCTCACAAGGACAGGCCCAAACAATAATTTTGCCTCCGCAGTGCTTCCTGGGTTGGGGGGGGGGGGGGGGGGGGCCCTGAAACCAGCCTCAGTGCCTGTCCCGAGGGTCAGCACCCACATGACCCTTGTGTTTGGGGGTAAACAAGCTTGGCACATCCGTCCCTGCGGGGAGGTGGCCCCTCCACAGTCAGTCTGCTCTGAGCACCTCCCAGACACCAGGTGCTGAGAGGCTGGAGAGGGGTTGGCGTTTCTGAAATGCAGTCAAAATCGTAGGGGTTTGGAGCAGGCACAGTGGCACACGCCTGTCATCCCAGCACCCTCCAGAGGCTGAGGTAGGACCTCAAATTCAAGACCAGCCTCAGCAGTTTAGTAAAACCCTGTCTCAAAAAAATAAAAGGCTGGGTCAGTTGTTAGCACCCTGGGTTCAACCCTGCTACCAAAAAAAAAAAAAAAAGAACAAAAAAACCCTCTAGGGATTTGGATCCCCTTTTGGGGCCTGAGACTAAACCGTCCACGTTCCTTGAACAACTTGGAACAGGGGTGTGCTGATGAGAGGGGACTGGAGTCCACACCACCAGGGCCTGCCCCAGCCAGTCTGCACAGCAAGGCGGGTCCTGCTGGAGGGGCCACTGTTTGCAGGAGGCCGAGTGAGCTGCCTGCTAATGGGGTTGGGCCACCTCGTGCTGCTCCCTAGAGGCTGGACAAGGCTGGGATTGTTCCCCGGCTCCCCCTTGTCACCCCACTCTCCGCCCAGGCCTGGCCCGCCTCCCCGGCACTCTTCTCCCTGTCAGCCTGGCTGAAGGAGCCTGGGACTCCGCCTGAGGAGCCCTGGGTGGCGGAGCCACCAGCTGAGGAGCAGCCCTGCAGCTCTGGGTAAGGAAGCTCAAGACCTGGGCCCTGGCCCTTCCTCTTCTGGGTTCCAGGTGGTGTCCTGGTTAGTGTCTGACCCTTCATTTCCGTGGCCGAGAGCTCCAAACCCTATTTCTGAGGACAGGGATCCTGAGGGGAGACAGACCCTGTATCATCTCACCTTCTCCATGAAAGGAGGTGGCAAGCGACACCCTGGGGGAGCCCTTTCTGTTCATGAGGTGCAGGGACCAGGCACCCTTGTTCCCAGCCTTCAGCACCCAGTTCCCTGAGGACCCAAACTCTTGAATGACACAAGTAGAGGCCTGGGTGAGGCCCAGACCCGCGCAGCTCAGACTTGGCAGGAAGAGGGGTGGGGCTGGCCGCGGAGTTGCTGGAAAGTTTTGGCCTGGGGACATGGGGAGTGTCCTTTTCTCCCTCTTGGGTGCCCGCCCACCTCCAAGCCCATCCCCTTGGTTGGTGCCAAGGAATGCAGGGGACAAGCAGCCTGAGAGGCGGGCGGGGCAGCAGAGCCGCAGCCACCGGGAGGCACTGCACAGGTCTGGGATGAGGGGCCTGGGGCTCAGGAGGGGCAGGGACCCGAGTATCCCCTGGGCACAAGTGTAGTCCTCAGAGAAGACCAGGACCCAATTCCTTGCCCACTGGATGGCATCCTTCTTCCAGGGAGTTCCCCCAGGGCAGGTTTCAGTGCTCTACCAGGCACCAGGGCTCTCTGCTGGAGGGGGCGCCCAAGCCTCCGCTGGCCTCCAGGTGTCAGGGTCCTTCCTGAGGCCAAGAGAGCACTAGGGGGCCGACTCCAGGGGATGGGTTGACGCAGGGCCCTCTGCTCCAGGCTGAGGCTGACAGCCTCCAGTGGGGAGTGAGAAAGGCAGGGCTCTGTGGGGCTCCCTGAGGGAGCCGGGCCAGCCTACCCTGGCCGGGAGGAAGCAGCCCGTGGCCACCAGCCACCACGCAGGCGCCCAGTCCTGGGCTGAGTAACCAGGTCTAGCCTGAGCCCCGGGGAAAGCGGCCTGTGGATGGGCTGGTCCCTGACGCTCCCCCACTCTATCTCCAGGTCCACGTGGAGCTGCCGGGCCACCATGCTCAGCCTCAAGCTGCCCCAGCTCCTTCGAGTCCACCAGGTTCCCAGGGTGAGGGCCTCGCCCACCAACCCTCTCTCCCCAGAGGACTGTGGGCGACGTTTTTCTTTGGCTCTTGAGGAGATCCCCCTGCAGCAGTTTCCTGTCCTCCTGTCCCCTCCTAGGCGGCTTGCCCGGCTCGGAGAGCGTGTGCCCCTCCCTAGAGCCCACAGCGCCCCCATTCAGACTCCTCCAGTCTGCCCTGTGGCCTCTCCACGCCCATCTTGTCCCCCGTCCTGGCTCTTCTGTTTCTCATCTGTTCTGTGGGTACTGGGGCCATGTAAGATGGGGGTCAGATTTAGTTCGTCTTTGGGGACCCGTGACGTCGCGCGCATCCTCTTCACCGGCTTCCAGAGGTCTTTGGCGGACGGAGCGGGCAGGGCACAGTGACTGCCCCTCTCTCCCTCCACCACGACCCCAGGTGTTCTGGGAAGACGGCATCATGTCGGGCTACCGGCGCCCCACCAGCTCCGCCTTGGACTGTGTCCTCAGCTCCTTCCAGATGACCAACGAGACGGTCAACATCTGGACCCATTTCCTGCCCACCTGGTGAGGGGCGCTCTGCTCCAGGGCGCAGCCTGGGCCGGGAGCGCGGCGCAGGGTGGCGGCCTGAGCCCAGCCCTCCCGCCGCAGGTACTTCCTGTGGCGCCTCCTGGCGCTGCTCGAGGGCCCGGGCTTCCGCGCCGAGCCCTACGACTGGCCCTTGCTCATCTTCCTGCTGCCCGCCTGCCTCTACCCCTTCGCGTCGTGCTGCGCGCACACCTTCAGCTCCATGTCGCCCCGCGCGCGTCACATCTGCTACTTCCTGGACTACGGCGCGCTCAGCCTCTACAGCCTGGGTGAGCCGGCGGCGGGTCGCGGCGGGAGGCGGGAGGCGGGAGGCGGGGCCGGGCGGGGGACCTCGGGAGGCCCGGGCGCGCGGGCCTCAGCTCCTGCCGCGCCGCTCCCCGCAGGCTGCGCCTTCCCCTACGCCGCCTACTCCATGCCGGCCTCCTGGCTGCACGGCCGCCTGCACCAGCTCTTTGTGCCCGCCGCCGCCTTCAACTCCCTCCTGTGCACCGGCCTCTCCTGCTACTCCCGGTGGGTGCTCCGGCGCCGCCCCCGGGGAAGCGAGGGCGAAGCCAGGCCGAGGGACAGGAGAGGAGAGCTGGGAGGCCACAGGCCAGCTCTTGCGCGCCTACACATGCCCAACTGTCTGTTCATTCCACAGCCTGTCCTTAGCCCCATATTACAGACGTGGCCATTTATATAGGGAGGCGTGCGACCTAAGGGCTTTCCTAGCCAGTAAGCTTCATTGACACCCATTTGGCTCAAGCTCCCCTTGCCCTTCTTGATCCCTGCCTGAGCCAGGAATGGCGACCAGCCTGTCCGTGTCTCCCAGGTTCCCAGAACTAGAAAGTCCTGGGTTCAGCAAGGTCCTCCGCACGGCGGCCTTCGCCTATCCCTTCCTGTTCGACAACCTTCCACTCTTCTACAGGGTAAGGCTGCCGGGCCCGCCCGGCTTCCTCCTGACCCGTCTCCCCCAGCCCTCTCCCTGCTCTCCAGGCTCAGCACCCTGGCCAGGTCCCAGACCCATCTCCGACTCCGCTCAGAGGCCCTCTCCACCAGCCATGCTTTTCCTCCGCCAGCTGGGGCTGTGCTGGGGCCGGGGTCACAGCTGCGGACAGGAGGCGCTGAGCACCAGCCACGGCTACCATCTCCTCTGTGCCTTGCTCACTGGCTTCCTCTTTGCCTCCCACCTGCCAGAACGGCTGGCGCCTGGGCGCTTTGACTATATCGGTGAGGATATGCCCGTCCGGCCCTGGACGGGGCCAGGGAGACAATTTCCCAGGGCAGGAGTGAGCTAGGTAGAGAGATTTCACAGCCCAAGGGTGGGCCCTTCCTCAGAAACAGCGAAACTAATACACTATGCAGGGGCTTTATGCAAATCAGCTCAGTCCCCCTTCTAACAATTCTGGGAGTCAGGGTTTCTTACAGGGGAGTAGGAGGACAGGTGACTTGCCCTGGGTTACAGAGTGGGTCAGTGAGCCTTGGGAATGGGTGTGTGCCTGACCTGCCCACCCTCCCTCCAGGCCACAGCCATCAGCTATTCCACATCTGTGCAGTGCTGGGCACCCACTTCCAGCTGGAGGCGGTACTAGCTGATATGGGATCACGCAGAACCTGGCTGGCCACCCAGGAACCCCCCCTGGGCCTGCAGGGCACAGTGGCCACCCTGGGCCTGGCAGTGGCTGGGAACCTGGTCATCATTGCTGCCTTCACAGCCTCCCTGCTTCGAGCCCCTGGGACCTGCCCCCTGCTGCAAGGTGGCCCGCCAGAGGGGGGAGCTCAGGCCAAGCAACAGTGAGACTCATCCCTGACCTTGGCCTGGAGGGAGGCAGAGACCAGGACCCAGTGCTGCTGTGGAGCCCAGACCAGGCCTGATAAGGTGGGGACACATCTGAGCCTGGAGCCAAGAGTAGCTGAGGAGAGAGGGAGGGCAGAAGAGAGGAGGGACAGACGGAGGGAACTGGCAGAGTGCGAGGGCCGTGAGGGGCTCTTGGAGGGAGTGGGGTAAGTGCCGAGGGTCTGTGAGGGGAGATGGGAGGAGATGTGTGTGTCCAGGTTGGAGCTGCCCCCGGGCGCTATTGGGGGCTGAAGCAGGGAGTGTCGGGCCCTTTCACCGGGCCCATCTCTGGTGCTCCCCGAAGTCTCCACTCAGCCCAGAAGAACTGACTTGACTAACCTAGGCCTCTCCTGAATGCTTATTAACCAGCCAAGGGCCACACATTGGCTCCCCACCCCCCAAAACAAGGTAGCACCTTCTTTGCCAGCAGCTTTTTGCCTAGTGATGAATCTGTCCTGGTCACAGCTGAATACTCAAGATGTCCAGGCCTTCAGGGGCTGGTGTGTTTGCTGTGTCATGGCTGATTCAGTGGACTGGTGTGGGAGGGGTGCTGGGCCAGAGCTGGGAAGCCTAGTTAGCCTTAGGAAACCACCTTCCATGCTTTCTGGAACAAAGCAGCTTCGATAAATAAACAAACAGGACTTCGGGATGCACTTTCTGGGACTGAAGAAGGCGACACTTTCTCTCCACTCCATCCGCCAAGCCCCTCCCCCACAGAATGGACAGACTCACAGCCCATCAATTCCTCCTCTGGACTTTATTTTGGACCAGCTGGGATGCCCACACTGGCAGGGCAGAGGGACCGAGGGGGAGGCGAGGGAGGAGTCCTGGCGCAGAGCCAGAGCAGGGCTGCCACGGCCAGCACAGACACCTAGGCTGGGGTCCCGTAGAAGCGCTGGTAGGCGTCCTGGAAGCCGATGTGATCAGCCAGCTCGTCACAGTTCGGGTTGAGCTCACACACCTCCCTCTTGGGCTCCAGGGGATCCGGGTAGGGAGCTGGGGCTCTGAGAAGTCCCACACGGTGGCATCACTCCTCATGCAATATGCTCACCCTCTATTCCAACTGCATACGGACTCCAGAGTGCTTACCAGGAGGGACCCCCTGCCTGTCCCTATTAAAAGCCACTCCCTATCATGGCTCCTCCCAGCACATCCGCAGGTGCAGGGCCCTGCTCAGCATCTCCTACTTACCCCAGCCCATTGTCCACGAAGCGCCTGGGTCTTTTCACCACCTTGTTGCCCTCCTGCTTGGACATGAAGGCTGTGGAACGTGGAGAAGAGGGTAGGGGTCAGGTGGTTCCAGGCTTGGGACAATAAGTAGGGGAGCAGGCAGGCCTTCCTGACAGGCAGGAGTCAGCGGGCGACAGGGAATGGGACTGAAGGGCGTAGGGCAGAGGGGGTGCCAGGAGCCCCTACCAGGCCCATACCTGTATCTTTGCCAGACTCTGCACCACTGGGCTTCGCATCTGCAAAGAAAAGGTGCCCAGCTCACCCCTGGCTCACTCCAAGGGCCCTCATCCTCCTTCCCCTACTTCTCTGGTAGCTTGTTCTTCCCGCTTCTCCCTCCACAAGGACAGTGTGGGCCTGCAGAAGGGTGTCCAGACTGGAAGAAAAGGGGAGAAATGGGGGTACTCACCTGCCCGACCAGCGAGGCAGAGTGCAGCCAGGGCCAGCAGGGCAAGCAGTGTGAGGGTCCTCATGGTGTCCGTTGGCACTGTCAGGACTGCTGCTGGAACTGGTCTGCCTCTTCCTGACTCCAGCACTCTTTATACCACCCCAGAGATGAGGGGGCTACGCCCACATGGTCAAGCAGGGCATGGGGAAGCGGCCAGGGCTAATTGGGGGTCATCTGCCCTGGCTCTGTAGGCCAAACCCCAAAGGATACTGTGGTTGGGAGTGATGAAGGAGGACAGCCACAATCAGAGGCTGCCAGGCTCTTGACATCACCCCTGGCCCCTGCCCTAGGGGGCTGTCCAGATCCCTATACCCTTCTCCATTCTGTTGAGACCGCAGCCTCCGCCCAAGTCCTGGCTGGGATCTAAGTGGAACGAGAGAGGAAGGGGGTGCTCAGGTCTAAAATAGGCTCCAGAGCTCCAGCTCTCTTAAGGCCTATGATTTGCACTGTCTGCCTGCGGGGCAGGAGCCAAACCTAGGGAGGGAGTGCCAGCAATGGCCTCATCCACCCAGCAGACATCAAAGGCCGGCGTGGTGTGGGCCACTCAACTGCTTCAGGAACAGAAGGGGTCAGGGCAGCACAGGTCCAAGAGTCAAAGCCAACAGATACAGTAGGGCTGGGTGTATGAGGACAGCCTCTCCATTTCTGGGCAGGCCAGGTGGCTAAGTTCCAGGTATGAAAGGGCACTGTGGTAGGGGACCCAGCAGGGAGGACCTGGAGGAGTGTAAGACAGAATGCATCTCTGGGCTGCTGACCCTCCGATTCTCCTACCCCTGCAGCCTCCCCAAGGTTTACAGCCTCAGGGAGGGACCTGCCTCCCCCAGTCCTCCAGGAAGGCCCACAGGTCCCAGCCTGAAAACCCCAGCCCACACCTGAGAGCTGCCACTGCCTCCAGCCGGCCTAGCAAGGAAGGGTGGCCCGGCTCCTTCCCCCGGCTGACCAGTGTCCTCACTCACACCCCTCGGGGCTGGAAGCCGCCTGCCCACTCTGACAAATACACACAGCACTCGGTGAGGTGGCCGCGCAGGACGGAGGCGTCTGGATTATTAATGCCGCAGCTCCACAGGGCAGAGGAGGGCAGAGGGAAAGATGAAGCTTGGGCTGCTGGTGGGGAAAGAGGTAAAAGCAGGAGCCACTCTGATGTCTTCCAGTCTGTCCCCAGTGCTTCTGTCCAAGGGGCTAGGGTGTGGCCCATACCAGGGCAAAAAGCTTTGCCCTCCACCCAAAACCGTCCCCCTTCCTCTCCGGTCCTGGTGGCCCTGGCTGGAGAAGAGCACAGTGGAGAAGCAGTCATGAGTCACATTGTCCTGAGGCCCAACTATCCTGGAGGCCTCCACCATGGACACTTAATCCAAATGTCAAAGAGAAGGTAGGGTGGGACGAAGAGTGACATACCCTTGACAGCTCATCCTGACTTTGGGGGACCCAGGTATCCCACTTTCTGTGAAAACGGGGCTCTGCTGCCCTTGGCACATGATGGTCACATACAACTGCCCTATCCAGCCTGGACTGACCAAGCCCTTGCCTGAAGCTGGAGCTTGGGGACCCAGAAGTGGTCTTGGCCCAACAGACGCCGGGCAAGGAAGCATCCTCACAGATTACAGTGCAGTGGAGGATGTTTATTTACGGATGTGGGGAGAACATGGCGAGCGACCTTGGGCTGGCCAGCAAGGGGACAATCAGTGAAATTGAAAACACATTCCCTAAGGGAGGGGGTGGTAGGGTGCCGAGCAGCCTGCAGGAGAGCGCTGGGGGTGGTGCTGGCCTGCACCTGAAGGAGAAAGAGTCGGGCCCAGACTCCACGTTGGGCCACCATCTCTGGGCAGAAGGGAGGAGTCTGAAGGTAGTATGTGTGACCCCGGGGGAGCCTCACAGCACTGCAGCAGTGGGGCTTGCTCGGGCCTGATCCTCCATCACTGCCTGGAGATTGGCACCATTTCAGCTGTCCTCAAAGGCAGCCCGCCCAGGCCCAGCATGCCGACCACAGCCCTCGACCTTGACTGCCCTCTGCTCTCAGCCACAGGCTCCGCCTCACTCTGGCTCCCTCAGAACGGCCAGCAGTTCCCGTTGTTCTCCATACAGAGCCTGAAATCAGCAGGAGAGAATAGCTACACAGGCTATGAGGAAACCAAACCCTTTCTCTTCTGAGCTGAACTGGGGCGTGGGTTTCCCCCAGGGCCATGTGACTCATCACTGGCCCAGGAAGGCGCATTAGGACAAAGATAGGCAGGAAGTCTACCACTCAATGGGTACTGATAGAGGGCTGGGTACCAAGGACACCTAGGCTAGGCCTCCCCTGGGCAGAGTTCATTTTCTTTTTCTTTTTCCTGGAAATTTAACCCAGAGGCAATTTGTCACTGGGCCACATCCCCAGTACTTTTTGTTTTTATTTTTTATAATTTCTTTAACTTTTTTGAGCCAATAAGAAACCCCTTTTCATCACTGAAAACCCCATTTCATCGCCTGCCAGCTGTATCAGCCAGCTTGATCACTCTACCCTTTCTATCCTCAGTCACTTGGGCCATTTTCAAAAATTAAGTTCATCTTCAAAGGACATACACTGTTGCTGGAGAATGAGTTCCAGATGTACTAGGGCTCTAGAAGTCATTCCAGTGTGCATATTTTGAAGATACTGTCTATGTTCCCAGGGAGAAGTACAATGACCATTTCCTGGGACACACCTCTGCCCTCTCTGGGCCTCAGCCGTGGCAGCAGGGAATCCATGCTGCAGTTAGAGGTTAGCAGGGGCAGGGCGGGCAGCAGCCCATCTGCTATGGTGGGAGAAGCCTGCTGCACACATCCAAGCAGAAGTGATATGTGACTCTACCACCACAGGAGGCCCCTCCTGCCTCTGGGGTCCCTTATGTTGGGAGGGGATCTCTGAGGGCCTATCAGGGATGAAGGGGAAAGCAGGCAGGGCTGGACACTTGCCTGCCAGGCCTGCTGCCGGGCCTGGACCTGCAGCTGCATCTCCTCCAACTGCCTGCGCCCAGCCAGGATGGCATCGGCCAGCTCTCTGTTCTTGGCCTCCTGTTTCTGCACATGGCACCGCAAGGTATCCCGTTGCTGCAGGAAGTAGGGTGCCATGGTGCTGCACAGGTCTTTCTCTGGGATCCCACTGGGGCGCCTGAAGGGCCACATGGGGGACAGAGAGGGAGGGACAATGTGTGGGAGGGTTCTACTTACAAACCAAGTCACTGATGTTCCCACCCCAGTCCCAAGTTGGGCTGGCTCCTCTTACCTCCCAAGCCCTGCTCCTGATGGGAACACCGCCTGCCCCAGGCCCGCTGCCACCAGCCTTCCACCCCACACTCCACATTCTCCTCTCTCCCACACACACTCCCCCATCTTCAAGACGCCAGGTCTAGAGGTGACTTCCCAGCCTCTGCCGCTGTCCTTGTGAACATGTGCCCTGCTTGTGTATCACCCTATCAGGCTGGGAGCTGGAGAGATGGGGTTGTGACAGGATGAGACTTCCCAGTGGGGAGCCTCTGGAGAGAGGACCCAGACCTTGAGGCTGGATGACGTGAGAAGATAAGGAGAGAGGGTCTAAGGAGGCAAGGTCACACAGGGAACAGGCGCCACTGTAGGTTCTTCTAAAAATTCTTTTTTTTGTTTTGCTACTTGAGATTGAACCCACGGGTGCTTAACCACTGAGCCACATAACCCCCCAGCCCTTTTTATTTTGAGATAGGGTCTTGCTTTGTTGCTGAAGCTGGCCTTGAACTTGTGGAGCCACTGAAATTCTAGGCATGTGCCACCACATGGCTTAAAAATTCTTTTTTAGTTGTAAAATTTCATTCTTTTAAGAATTAAGGTCACGGGCTGGGGTTGTAGCTCAGAGGTAGAGTGCTTGCCTGGCATGTGTGAGGCTCTGGGTTCAATCCTCAGCACCACAAAAATAAATAAGTAAAAGAAATAAAAGTGTTGTGTCCGTCTACAACTAAAAAAATATTAAAAAAAAAAAAGAAGTAGTAAGGTCACAAAGCGCAAGAATGGCATCTCTCCCCTCTGGCCTGAGGTCCTGTGAGGGCAGAGGTAGTGGAAGGCTGCGGTGGTCTTGATGGCCTCTCTCTCCACTCTGCGCTCAAGGCCTTACTTCTTCCTCCGGTTCATGGTATTCCAGGCTACCAAGCTGCCCACTGAACTGTCACTTGCAGAGTGTCACTTGTTCACTGCCACATCACTGGCTTCTAAAACAGTATTTAGCGTGTAGTAGGTGCACCCTAAATGTGTGTTGAATAAACCAATGACTCAAAGTCAGTGCCTGGCCAGCCTAACCTACATAGGATTCCCAATTTCACTGCTCGGTGTCCTCTGTCCCTCCCCTCCTTCCTCCCACAGGCCCAACAGGCCCTGAAATGACCTCTCAAAGGCCTCTTCAGTCGGACCTCCAAACCACTTCCCTCCCGAACCCCTGGATAATAACATGCACTTGCCCTGGGGCTCTCCTCCCAGGAGGGAACTCTGCATTTCAACTGTTTTTGGTTATTGTTTGGTGTTGTCCCTGTCAAAGGGTCCTCTCTCAGGGCTATATAGAGCCCAGTGTCTCAGATATGGGGTCAGCCTCAGAGTCTCCTACCAGAGGCTGAAGTGCGGTCCCTTCCCGCTCCTTTCTCACCAGGCTGGCTCCGTGCAGTCTTTGCCTTCTTCCACAATTTTATCCAAGGAATTCAAGACAGCTTCTAGGTTCCCTTCTTTTTTAATTTCTGAAATTTCCTCCTGAAGAGAAAGGAGGAAAAAACTGTAATGATACTAGACAAGCCCAGAGTAGAAATACACTAAATTCTGGCTCATTTCTGCCCCCCCCCAACCCCCGTGGTACTGGGGATTGAACCCAGGGGTGCTATACCACCAAGCCACGTCCCCAGTCTTTTTGAGACAGTGTCTTTCTAAGTTGCTGAGGCTGGCCTCGAACTTGTGATCATCCTGCCTTATCCTCCCCAGTTACCGGGATTACCGAAGTGCACCATCATGCCTGGCTAACGTGACATTTATACTTACGAAAATAAAATATAGGGGCTGGGGTGGTGGCTCAGCACAGTGCTCACCTAGCACATGTGAGGCACTGGGTTCGATGCTCAGCACCACATAAAAAATAAATAAAGGTTTTGTGTCTGATTACAACTTTATATATATATATATATATATATATGTATATATATATATACATATTAATATATATATATTTAAAAAAGGAAATAAAATATAATATGGCAAACATTTAGAAAGAACGTGCAGCAAGCCTCTCTCCCTGCCTTCATTTCTGGGGGCTGGACACTGCCTGTGTCCACTCTCAGCACCTGTCCAGATTCCTCACACTGTGGTGCTAACAGGGCCGTCCTTGCCTCTCTAGAGACACTGCAGTTACTTAAAGACATGAATGGAATCGTAGCCTTTTTTGGATTGTTTATTAGGTGGCTTCTTCTGGGCAAGGCCTTGGCCCAAAAACTGAAGATACAAAGATGAACTTGACTCTGTCCTGCCCTTGCAGAGCACACACGGCCCAGTAAGGCAGACGACATATAAACACATAATTACAATACAGCACAATAAGAGAAAGGGGCATTTAAGATACCCACATTCTTTGGAGGAGGCGGGTGACTGGCACTGTAGCCTGCTGTGCACAGAGGGTGGCTGAAGGGGCTGAGAAGACAGAGGGGCAAAGAGTAGGGTCACTGCCCCCAGAGGACCAACAATCTAGAGATAAAAACCTAAGCTAGGGCTTGGGATGTGGCTCAAGCGGTAGCGCGCTCGCCTGGCATGCGTGGGGCCCGGGTTCGATCCTCAGCACCACATACAAACAAAGATGTTGTGTCCGCCAAATACTAAAAAATAAATATTAAAATTCTCATTCTCTCTCCCCCCCCTTTAAAAAAAAAAACTAAGCTAATGGTATCTTCTGGGCCTCTTGTCACTCACCCGGATAGATGCCTCCAGGTGAGTTATAAATCTGTCATAGATTCGCTGTGTCATCTCAGGCTGCAACTGGTAGAAGCGCTTATAACAGTCCGTGAATCTCTGGTAGCTGGCAGGAAGAAGAGAAGTCAAAGGTAGGGAGGGTCAAGTGCACAGCCAGTCATCAAGCTGCCCGGGCACCTCTGATTCTCATCATAGGACTCAAGCTTTATCTGCTTCATGGCCCTCTTGCTAATGACAATAAATGCAAATCTCTCATCAGCAGCTCACATCATAGGATGCTTCAATCCCACCACCAGTGCCCCACTTGGCTTCCCCATTTTTTCTCAGCAGAGCCCTCACTGAGTTCAGGGAGTTACTTCTTAAAGAGACTTACGATGAGCCAGGCTCAAAGGCACATACTTACTGTCCCAGCAACTCAGAAGGCTGAGGCAGGAGGATTACAAGTTTGAGGTCAGTCTGGGAAAGTTATCAAGATCCTGTCCAAAAACAGGGGTTACGGCAATAGCTCAGTGGTAGTACATCCCTAGTTTCAATCCCCAGGACTGGGGGGAAAAAAGAGGGTCATCATAAGCCAGGATCGGTGGCATGTACTTGTACTTGGGAGGCTGAGGGGGGAGGATCACTTAAGCCCAGGAGTTCAAGACTCATCTGGATACTGGGCACAGTGGTACACACCTGTAATCTTAGCAGCTCAGGAGACTGAGACAGGAGGATACAAGTTCAAGGCCAGCCTCAGCAACATAGAGAGGCCCTAAGCAACTTAATGAGACCCTGTCTCAAATTTAAGAAAACAATTAGAAAGGGCTGTGGATACAGCTCAGTGGTGAAGTGCCCCTGGGTTAAGTCACCAGTTAAAAAAAAAAAAAAAAAATTAGATCTGAAGTATATAGTGAGTTCGTCTTAAAAAGAAAAAAAAGTGAGCCATGATTCATCTAGCTATGGTTATTTACCCTTACTGTGCATAAAATTAGCAAGAAAGTGATCTGTTATAATAATAGATCACTGCCCTGGGTCAGTTAGCAACCTCCCAGGTGAGGCTGATGCTGCTGGTCTAGGGATGATACTCTGAGAATCTCTGGTCATTCCAGTCCCCCTGAACACCAGCCTTAGCAACTTAGTGAGACCCTGTCTCAAAATAAAAAGGGCTGGGGATGTAGCTAAATTGTAAAGCACCCCTGGGTTTAAGCCCCAGTACTGGGGGTGGGGAGAAAGGAAAACTTTTTTTTTTTTTTTTTTAAATCATGGAGTACCTGCTATATACTGATTGCCCACTAGGTACTGGGAATTGCCCTTCTGTAGCTGCCAGTTGAAAGGGCAAAATGGAGAGATATCAGCAAACAGAGGCTCATATGACTGTGGCACTTAACCACTGTGGAGAGTGGTTTATGGGCCAGAGTTATGGTGCTTCATTCTTTAAGGTGAGGAGGAGGTGTTGGTTTCTTGTGAAGCAACGTTTAAGTGAACTTCAGAATGTGTCTAAGCCAACCAAGAGCACTCAAGCACACAACAGCTTGCACTTAGACTCTACTGGGGGTCAGGATGCTCCTCAATCATGTGGATCAGTCTGGTGGACCACTGGATAAACATGGCACAGGCACCTGCAGCCAAATACAGGGTCCCATCCCCATTTAGGGAATCACTGCTGGTTCTACCTCTCTCACAGCTCGCTGGGCCTCCCCACCCAAGTCCCACAGTTTTGGAAATAGGTAGTGAGAAAGAGCAGTGTCATGCTAAAGCCAGCTCAGAGTAGCTTACAAGAGGACTCATGCCTCAGCAACTTACCGAGGCCCTAAGCAACTCAGCAAGACCCTGTCTCTAAATAAAATACAAAAAGAGCTGGGGCTCAGTGGTAAAGCTTGCCCAGCAGGTGCGAGGCACTGGTTTGATCCTCAGCACCACATAAAATAAATAAAATAAAAGTATTGTGTGCATCACAACTAAAATATACTTAAAAAAAAAAAAAGAGCCAGGGATGTGCCTCAATGGTTAAGCAACCCTGGGTTCAATTCCCAGTACCAAACAAAACAAAAACAAGGAAACTCACCACCCCCTAAATACTACCTTCTAATCATTCTACTGCACTTTATTTGCTCCTGAGGTTATTTATATGTTGTCTCTGTGTAACAGAAATGCTGTACAAAGATGTACTGTCCATTTCTTCCCAACTCTGTATTTGGTAATACCAAATCGGTAGCTTAGGAAAATGTACACTTTGAAATTGGCAAATCAGGGCTTACTTTTAGAGAGTTGGCTTTAAACACCTACCAGCACACTTTTGGGTCACAGGGATAGCCTCCTACCTTTTCAATGGTAAACATTTCATATTAGTACACCTTGGAGGCTAAGATTGAGTGAAAAGGACAATTCAAAGGGTAGATTCTGGGCTCAGTGATAGAGCACTTTCCTAGCATGCATGAGGCCCTGGGTTCAATTCTCAGCACTGCATTTAAATAAATAAAACAAAGGTCCATTGATAACTAAAAAAAAAAAAAAAAAAGATGCTGGGCATCCTTTCAACCCTCAGTAGAATCCCAGAGACCTTGTTTTGTTGCTGGCCCCACCAGCCACAGAGTCTGTGGTTAAAGGGAGGAATATGAAGGGACACATGATCCTTGACCAAGCTGGGCTGGAAATGAAACTGGGTAATTGTGGCTTGAACACCAGAAATCCTCTTCCTTCTCCCAGCCCACTCTGGAGGCAGAGGGTCCAAGCAGGGCACATCTCTACTCAGCTTAGGTAGACAGAGCCCGGGCAAGGGTGACCACTGCTGTTTATGAACTCTCCTGCAGCCTCCTTATGGTTTAAGAATTAGTGAAAGTGGTCCTGGGGCTGCCCCGTGGTAGAGTGCTCTCTAGTATGGAGGCCTGGGCTCAGTCCCTGCACCACAAAAATTAATGAAAGTGGAGGACCCCAGAACCACGCACATTCTTCAGATACACAAGATGGGAATTTATGTTAAATAGGACCATGTGGCTTAACCAAAGAGGAAAGCCAGACTGGACACCAATGTCCATGAGTACAAGAGGAAGCTGTTTCCTTCTTTGAATGCCAATGCAGATTTGGAAGCGGTTTGAATGCCCTGAGGATTTACTAAAAAATACTCAGGGAGAAGCAAAAAGTGATATGTTTTAGAAAACATTCATGACCATTTGTTCCCCAATTGTAAAATTTTCTTTTTTCATACAAGTGATAACACCCCTGTGGCTAGGATGTCCTCTGCAACGTCGCTGGGATCTCCAAGGTGTCCAGAGCGGTGTTAGATTCACAGCAGCACGTAACACACTCCTTCTCAGAATGGGTGACTGAGACTGAGGAAAGGCCTCAGCTGTCTGGCCCTCGGCCTGCCCAGTCCAGCCACCTCTCCCACCCTGGGCCCCAAGTCCAGGGACTGGACTGCTTGGACAGACGAGTCCTTCCCAGTCTGTCAATGCTCCCCTTAACCTTGTGACAGACAGGCTCCTGGCCTTAGCTTTCTGAGCTTACACAGAGGCTACCAAGCTGTGCCCTGGAAAGTGTGCTGGCTCTGAGGACAGACTGTTCTTTTGCCTGGGTTCAAATTCTACCTCTGTCACTCATCAGCTGAGTGACCTTGGACAACTTATTTACCTCCATAAGCCTCAGTTTCCTCCTCAGTCAAATTGGGATAATAACTGCATCTATATTTCACAAAATTACTCTAAGAATTAAATCAGGTTAATGAGGTTACATATATAAAGTCCTTCTTTTTTTTTTTTTTTTTGTACCAGGGATTGAAAAAAGAGGTGCTTAACCATGGAGCCATGTCCCCAGCCCTTTTTAATATTTTTTATTTTTTAATTATTTTGCGGGGGAGGTACCAAGGATTGAACTCAAAGGTACTTGACAACTGAGCCACATTCTCAGCCCTATTTTGTATTTTATGTAGAAACAGAGCATCACTGAGTGCTTAGTGCCTTGCTGTTGCTGAGGCTGGCTTTGAACTCAGGATCCTCCTGTCTCAACCTCCCGAGCTGCTGAGATTATAGGTGTGTGCCACCATGCCCAGCTATATAAAGTACTTAGTGTAGTGCCTAGCACACTGAGTGTTCCTCGTTAGCTATAGTTGCCAGTACTAGTCTACAGAACAGTTCACACCACCCCTCAGAGGTATATGTCAGTAATTTGACTGCTCAAAGCTGAGAAGTCTTCTTCCTCTGGAAGGCAGGTGATGAGTAAATGTGTCCTGGTTGCAATTGCAAATGAAGAAACCACCCAAGCAGTAGAAACCAGGGTCCAAGCAGGGTACATCTCTACTCAGCTTAGGTAGACAGACTGGATCTGTCACCACTAAAGAGCAGAGGTTAAATTGTGCCCGCCCCCCCCAACACACACACAAAAGGCTTTTCTTTTTCTTTTTTCTTTTTTTGCAGGATTTTAGGGGTTAAATACAGGGCCTCATGCATACCAGCCAGACAAGTGCTCCACCACTGAGTCCAAAAAGATCAATAAAAGGAATTTATTATTATTATTTTAAATATTTATTTTTTAGTTTTAGGTGGGCACAATATCTTTATTTTGTTTTTATGTGGTGCTGAGAATCAAACCCAGTGCTGCACGCATGCTAAGTGAGCACACTACCACGTGAGCCACATCCCCAGCCCCGGAACTTTTATTATTTTTAAAAATATTTTTAGTTGTAGATGGACACAATACCTTTGTTTATTTATTTTACGTGGTGCTGAGGATGGAATTCAGTGTCTCACATGTACTAAGCAAGTGCTCCACCACTGAGCTATAACCCTAGGTCTGAAAGTAACTTTTAAAAACCATGCTATTAGCTGGGTGCAGTGGTACAATCTATAATCCCAGCAACTCTGGAGGCTGAGGTGGGAGGATCGTAAGTCTGAGGCTAGCCTGGGAAACTTAAAAAAAATTTTTTTAATTAATTTTATTTTATTTTTTACTCAAATAGAGCACAACTTTTCATTTCTCTGGTTGTACATGACATAGAAAGAATCACACCATTTGTGCAACCGTACCCTTACATAGGGTAATAATGTCTGTCTCATTCCACCATTCCCCCCCTCCTCTGTTCAATCCAAAGTTCCTCCATTCTTCCCTTGCCACCCCCCATTATTGATCAGCATC